AGTTTTTACCCCATTGGAACTCATTGAATGGGTTTCAATGTGTTTCAATGAGGTTTTTAATTTCGTTTTACAATGTTTTTGCTTAACGGCAATTTTCCTGGAACGGATTATCGTCGTTAAGCGAGGCACCACTGTATATATAGAATGTATGTTTAGAAGCCTGTGTTTGGGAAAGGCAAAAATAACTTCTCCAGCAAAATTTGCTTTACTTTTTGAGATAACCAGGGCATAATGTACAAAGTAAAAACTCTGACTATATCCCGGGGTGGAAGGGTGCTCTTGATGTTAACTGTGCTATGTGTTTTGAGTTTAAAATATTTGTCTTTTTCTGTCTATCTCATTCAATAATAACCCAAAAAGTAAACGGATACCTCTTTGGCAGGCTGAACTTCACCTTACGGCACATGGACGTTGTCTGCGAGGCATACGATCACTTTCGGAGGAGCCTGGATGACCTGCAGAATCTCAGAGAAGGCAGAACGAGATACACCGTGGAGCCTGTCGAGCTGTCCTTTCCTCAGCGCATCGTTTATGGGCGAGTGGAGCAGTTGGTGTGTAGGGCCTCCCTAGCATCACTAAATAACCCTTGCAGTAGTTCTCGATTTAATCATAGCCGGGACAAAGAATCAAAGGCTTGCTTTTGCCTCTGCCTGGCTGAACTCAGCCACCATAAATGATGCAGATCTCTCTCTCTCTCTCTCTGTTTTTAAATCATCTCACACTGCTAATATCCTACTTGTACAGGTAGGAAGCAGAGGCTGGGGGTAATAACTGGTATAGATGTTCTGCTAGGAAGGTTCATCAAATAGAATTGGGGAAGGAGAGTTAGATTTCTAGATACGGTAGGACCCCCCGTATCTTATAGGGATTGGCTTCCTCCGCTCCGTGGATGCCGAAAATGTGGATTCTAGCAAACACTATACATATCATGGTCTCTGGCTCTTTCTAGTTGCCAGTTCTGGTCACGTCCCATTTAGAAATACATTGTTCAAGGATTTTTCTTCTAATATTTTGAGACCATAGATGAGTGAATCAGTGGATACTGATCCTGTGGATGCGGGGGTCCTGCAATTTGAAGCTAAATTAAAGGGATCTCTGGCTGCCAGTTGTTTAACAGGAGTAACAACAACATTCTGTCCCTCTCGGCATTCGTTTATGGGGTGGAACCAAAGAAAGGCTTTGGTTCAGATTCTCATGATGGTGCTAATCCTCTCTGAATATCTCTCCTTTGCTTCGCAGGAGTTATGGAAGATTAGGGCTGACAAGACTTCTGAAAGAAGCACATATCCCTGTGCAAGATTGAATTAGGACAGGAAGACCTCCGTGCAGAATGAATGGAGCAAAGAAGCCAGTTGGTTTTGGATACACGCAGAATGCTGATTAAAATGTATACATAGCAGCATTTGGGATGTTGGCTGTGATTTATGAAGAGGATGAACTGTTAGATGCTCAGTTTGTGTTCCAGCATCATACCCAGCATCCAGGAGACTGGCAGCTGTGAATCAGTGGCATTCATGGAGGGCAGGAAAATTGGCTCCTGTGGAATGCTGGTGATTGAACATTATGCGAATCCCATGGTTATAACAAAGAGGTTCGGGGTGCCTTGCCGAGGAGCAGATGGATCGCAGCCCAGGTTCACGGACTTGGAGGCCTGCTTCGTCAAGACGCTGAAAATGTTGTCTTCCGCCCGCACCCAGCAACAGGGACTTTAGTTGGTGGGAAGTTTCATGCAGGCTGACGGTATTGCATGGGGCTGATGGGGGTTGTACTCCGCTAAGTTCTGAAGGAGGCTGCGCCCTGCTCACTTCCGTTTGAGATGGCAGCGGAGTTTGGGCAGGGAGATAGCCACCGGCACTGCCTGAAACTCCGTGGAAGAAAGCGTAAATAAAGAGAGAGAATGGAGACAGCAGCCATAAGAGGGAGAGAGAGAGAGAGAGCAAAGGCCGGGACAAAGAAAGATAAGGTGAGCTTAAAGACTGATAAGAGGGACTCCACAGGGTTGTGTTGAAAAGGCACCGAGCCTTATCTGACTTGGAAAGAGGAGAGAACGACTGTATGTGGAGGTTCATCAGTGCCTCAGGCCATGCCCCTAAACTCAAGTCCTCCCCAGCTTTTTTTAAAGAAGAATAATCATCTTAAAACTCCAGAGCTGGAAGGGACACTATAGGATCATCCAGTCCAGCCCCTCTCAAAAGAAGCACCGAGGGGGAATCAAACTCCCAACCTCTGGCTCCGCAGCCAGAGACCAAAACCATCAAGCCATCCACCTGTGTTACTAGAACTCGGGAAGTTTTCTCGGCAGCAGCCGTGGTATAGGGGAGGAAGTAGAACAGCTGGCATCTAGCCATGTGCAAAGTGCAAAGCCTTTATTTTGACTAAGAACGGCTCAGTTCAGCAGGTGAAGCATGAGAGCGTAGAATCAGGGAAAATATATTTCCAAAAACTTTATTAGCTAGTAAAGGGCCAGCTCTGGACTCAGCACTTCTTAATGAATTTTGGAAGTTGCTTTTAAATAACTTTCTAATTTTCACTTTTCTCAAGAGAAGCTTGTCGGGGTTTTTTTTTCCTTGTGGTAACATAGTCACAGACTCCCTTTTTGTGTGGATTCAAACTCTTAAGTTTGTTGGCGTTTTCCCGACCCTCCAACTCCTTTGTTTTGTTCCATGGACGCTATAAAAGCCTTCCAGAAAGGTTCACCGCTCGGCCTTGCTTTGACATGACAGAAGACTAAACATTGTCGACACCAAAGCATTATGTTCTGCCGGTGCTATTTCAGATTTAGATCCACAGCCACAAGGAGGAGCAGTGGGAGAATATTGATGCATGGAAACCAGCTCTTATTCCTTCCTCCACATCTGTGAGGACGTGCGTTGCCCATAAACTTCCTTCGGTGGTCGATGGTGGAGGATCCACCCTTAACACCTTCCTTAATTGTGAGCAGAAAAACACATCCAAGGAATGTAGAAGAATGTGATATCTTTGCTAGACCACTAAAAAAACAAGTCATGCAAGCTTTCATGAATTAAAAATTGTTTTTCGGGCATGCTCATGAAGGAAACTTGTGTTCCAAAAACAGGCGATGAAGGTGTTTGTGTGTATGTGAGTTTGTGTGTCTGTGTGTGTGTAGAACGCTTAGGTAGAGCGTTGGGCTGCCTCTGTCTGAATTACCGAATGACAAGTTCCAACCACGTGTAACCCGCTATAAACTCTTCTTGAAAAGACGTTTGGCAAACATTTGCCAAAAGGTTTTGGGACACACGCTTCCTAATTTTTCTGCACTATCCAGGAGTTACCGGTGCATGCCTGAGGAAGTGATTTCTAATTCACAAAAGGTTGCATCAATTGCTTGATTTTTTAAAAAGTGGTTTAAAAAGGTGGCATATTTTTCCCCACTTGTATTGTGTTATGACCATAAGCTCCCTTTGTGTTTTTTTTTTCTTTTTTCAAAATTGCAAGTAACTAGTCTGTCCTAAATTATCCTGTTTGGAGAGAGAGAGAGAGAGATACTCTCTCTCTCTCTCTCTCTCTCTCTCTCCAGCCAAGCATCTCTCGAAAGAAAGAGCTTTAATTACACAGATATTTTCAGAGAACAAAAGAACAATGTGTCTGTTTTAGATCTAAACATTTGACTATTTCCTTTACAAAAGAAAGATTGTTAAAGCAGAAGTGGCCTGGAGAATGAGAGCAAACCAAGGAAAAATAAATAGCAGTGTAACACATCCTTGAGAACAAATGGAGCATCCCAAATCGCTTTAGGATTAGAGGTGAAAATCAGGATTTAATCTTAGTTCATTGCTTGACTCAGCAGGAATCTGTTGTTCTCTCATGTCTACTGGTAATGTTCCAAGTCTGCTCGGATTTCCCTTTATTTATATATTTTACACCCTGGAACCTGGTCGGTTTTTACTAGTTCATTTCAGAGAACTTTTAGAACAGTTTTCGGGCCCAGTAACTTGAGACCCGATGCCACATCTGTCATGAAACACCAGCTGCTTTTGTCCCCTTTCTCATTTGGCAGAATGTGAATACTGGTGAACTCACACCAAACCCTAGCACGGGTGGGCCAGGAACGATTGTTGTCACTAATTTTGGACCCGGGGGCTGAGAGCGATACCTGATGGTTAGAGCATTCGGTGGACCATTATTTCTTTGGACATAGAGTTGTTGTGTTGTTCCGTCCCTTGGCATCTGTTGTTACGCTTTCTGATGGAAGTCCGATCAGATGCTTTTGCTTAGGGCAGGGAGAACTCCTTTAAAACGCACAACAGAGAGAATCCTGACCCTCTGATACAACTTCTCATCTCAACCTTGCATGTTGGAGAACGAATCTTCGGTTAAATGAAAAAAACAGTGAACAGTGCAGAAGAAAGGCTTACCTTGAATAACCACAGCCCGGCGACCATAACGATGAACCTGCCTCGGCAAACGCACAGAGAAACTACGATTGGCTTTCACACCCGCTTGACCACTTTCGAGGTCACCTTTTGTTGGCCATTCTGGGCAGCCAGGAAAAAAGGCTCCTCTTCCTTATCGCCATGTCCTTTTCCTGCCGTGCTTTTTTCACAGAATCTGTCTCGCTTCCCCCTGCAGTCATGGTGACTGTCTTGGGCTCGCCTTCCATAGGTGGCCTCTTCACCCTTCGGGATTCCAAGGAGAGATCCTTCTGTAGCCCAAAGCCTCCGTCCAGTCGGTAATGCCCATCAGAGTAGACCCGTTGAGTATGGCTGAGCTGGGAGTCAACATTTAGGATCAATCCCATTATTTAGCTGTCAGTCCTATTCAGGAGTCCAGGACCAGACGCTTTTCCTTTGGGGTGGATCTATCATCTTACACCACAGGTACTGGTGGATCCATAAGTAAAGAAATTTTCTGTGCCACTTTCTAGTTTCAAATATGCCCTCGTCTGGTGCTGTAATGGTGTTGGAGAACGAAACGGTAGCCGTTGCATCTGCAGACCGGCCATGTGTGTCTTGCAGGAAAAAGGAGTTCATGAGTTTCCTTAAGTCTGTATGAATTGTGGCTTAAGGTTCATTGGGAAAAGTAAGTCTTGATTTCCCCCTTGCTTTGAAATTTGGACAAAGTTGACAGGAGAGCAGAAAGGGGAGTTGTGAAGGAAAAAGGAGATAAAGAGATGATCAACAAGAAGCCACAGGAAGACCTATCTGTGAAGGCAAAATTGCTGAAACGGAAACTTGTCAGGATCCGAGCCAAGGAGCGATGGTTTTGGGGACATTTTGGAGGAGAATCCCATCCTTGTTTGAATTTGGCTGGAGTATCGTCATAACGCTTGTCGAGGGCTGCATGAAGGTCTGATGATCCTTCCTTCCAGCAGGTTGATGCAGCCCTTCCCCATCAGCATGTCAGCTTTCCTTATCGTCATCATAACGCTTGTCGAGGGCTGCATGAAGGTAAGAGTCTGATGATCCTTCCTTCCAGCATGTTGATGCAGCCCTTCCCCATCAGCATGACAGCTTTCCTTATCGCCACGTCCTTGGATGACCCTCCAGTTGGCAGGCGCACCCTGACCGTTCAGGGAAACGGCTGGGTGTCAGTCTGAGAGACTCGGCGCTCCCTGCCTCCGGCGGCCTCCGACTTTCCACCGCCCTGGTCCTGGAGCTTCGCCTTCTTAAATCGAACCTTGTGTGCTTAAACTGGCCTCGCAGAAGAGGAAGAGTGTGATTAAATGTGGCAGGACCGCCCGCCGTTCAGGTCACAGCAGAGCCGTTCCAAAAAAATGAGCCAGAACACAGGAGAGGCTTCCTGAATTGAAGCCGAGTGGAGGAAGCTAAAAAAGAATATTGTCTGGATATTTTAAATCCAGCTCTAGAAAATAAGGGATAAGACAATCAGTTGGGAGTTCAATTCCCCCACTGTGCCTCCTGGACAGGGGCTGGACTCTATGATCCATGGGGCCCCTTCTAGCTCTGCCATTCTGAGATGGTGATGATGAGCATGATGATTAAGCAGCCACATTTGGGTAGGAAGTCCCTGTTTCAGTAAAGGCTGGCTTTTCGGTGTGTTTAAACCGGCACGCCAAAATTCAAGGACCTGAATGCAGTCAATCGTCCCAAGTAGAGTAGACCCATTGAATCAGAAGGATTGGCATCAGAATTGACTCCAGCACAGCAGTTGTTCCGGTGAGATCTACTCTGGTTCCAGAGGATCGCCTCTGGGAGTGGCAATTGGATTTAAGTCAAAAGATGGATGGAGGAATGTGTTTGTTTGCTTGCCAAGGACAGGGCATTACAGCTTTCAGCACTTAAATGTATTTGATTCACGATGCTAAAAATGCTCTAAACCCCGTGAGGGTAGAATGACATACTAGGACTCTGGAGACCCGAGTTCAAATCCCCACTCAACCAGTAGGGGAATGGAACTGGCAAAGCCACTCCTTGAATA